TATATATATATATATATATATATATATATATTTTATATATATTCTATCTTATTTTGCTATTTTGTTTTGTTTTTTGTCTGCACCAACAACACCAAGTCAAATTCCTTGTAAGTGCAAACCTACTTGGCAATAAACTTGATTCTGATTCTTTACCTATGATATTCAAACAGCATCTCACAATCATCAAGACAATCATAAGGTCTGAAATGGTACTTAGCAACACTTCAGTCCTATTTGCTACGCTGTATTATTCAACTAATAACTTTTGTGGTATCTAGCATGAACTACATTGGCTGAACACCCTTGCTATATTTAGTAGATTTATATTTTTAGGAGGAAAGGGAATAAAACGTGAAGGAACACCTCAGACAGGATTAAATAAATAGAGAAATTGTCATATTTCTGCCCTGTTTGTCTACACCAGTCATGTTCATCCCTGCTTCTCTTTTCTATGCAGTTAATTGAATTATTGTTTCCACCTGCGTCTCCCCTGTCTGCATCCAGCAGCCTCACCTCAGCTGTTATCCTGGCTTTATATTCTGCACTCTGGCTTCATGCTTTGCCAGATTATTGACATATCTAGCACCATTTCCCTGCCTGCCTGATTAACAACACTTTTTTGCCTCCTGAATTTTTCTGTTTCGCACTGCCCTGTTCAGTCATTCTCCTGGACTTTGACCTTTCTACATCTTACTACCTACTCCTGCCTTCCTCCTGGATTTAGAAGACTGTCCTGTTTTTGACTTTGTTTCTAAGCTTGACCCTTGGATCCTCTTTTCTGTTTCTGCTTCCATGGCTATGACCAGGTTTTGGTTCGATATTTACTGAGTCCTGCCTTCTCCCCGGGTTAGTTCAGCCTAAGATTTACACCTGAGGATGCCAATTCTGCTGATCATGGTTTCCTGCTCAAATCTGAATACTACTTTTCATAATTATTAAATTTTTCATCCAATCAATAAGTGAGTTTCAAACTGAGAGAACTAAATTTTCAGATTTGTGTATAACTATTTTTTTTTAAAGAATTGCCATTCCAAAACAATCAGAGAAATCCAGCTTTATGGATTAAAGATTGGTGGTTGTAGTTTGAATCGCCATAGGAGAACAGTATGTGGCACTTGCCTTTTCTTTCCCTAGCACCCGCCGTGCAGTGCATCAGATTATGAAAATGGAGTTAAATGGAATAAAAATAAAAGGAGCAATCAAAGGACTGAAGTGGGCCGAGTGGGACTTAAAGGATTTGGATTATTGAGCAGAACACAACAGTGGAATCCCACCAGGCTGGGAATGTATCACAGCACACAGCCAAAAATCACAGTTCCGGAACATTCCCCTTAATTGTCATCTGCCATCAGAAGTCTCTTCTAAATGGATATATAAGAGATAATGCACATGAGATTTAAGTTTTTCTCATTTTTT